CCCCCACGGGAGAATGCAAAAATTGGCTGATTTTGTTTTTTAATCAACCTTTCCCTTAGTATTAATTTAGATTAGAACCCTCTTTAAAATAATCCCAGTTTGGCATTTTTAAAGGTGATGCTTGATGCTTACAATACATTATTTTGACAATATTTCAGACAGGATGTATTCCAGAAGCTACTGAACATAATATACACATTTCTGTGAATCACACAGAAAATTCAGACAGATTGAGCAGCCTTACTTCTTTCTTCCTTCAAGGTTATTCTTAAATATTTGATTAACAGCAAAGGGAATGAACAGAGAAATGGAGGAAACATCATTAACTCATTTATGATTCACTTTCAGAAAGTATAAGTAGAAATTATACATAAATTAGAGAAATTAAAACTTTTGATCATTGTATATCTTGCAACACTGATTTTTCTAAAATCACAACTGGTGCCAACTTCTAGTACAGATCTAAATGTCCAAGCAGATATACAATCCAGCTTAAGTATTATAGTGTCATAAAAGCAGCTTTTGTTTTAAATGAAAAAAATCTGAAATAAATGGACTACTAGGAAAAATAGCTAGTTATTTTTAGTTAGAAAAGTTAGCTAGAAAAGATAGCTATTAGGAAAAAAATCACTATTCATCTTCTACATCTCCATTAGAGATATTATTATGGATTAATCATTTGTAACACTGTCTAACCCTAAACTGTCTATTCTTCAATAAGATCTGGTGGAGGAAGCATTGTTCACTAATATGCTGTATGTGTGATTCAGTCCATATCTGTAGAGCAGTGTTTCTCAACCTTGGCAACTTTAAGCATGGCTGGCTGGGGAATTCTGGGAGTTGAAGTTTACACATCTTAAAGTTGCCAAGGTTTAGAAACACTGCTGTAGAAGCTCCATTTTAGCCATCTCTCAGTCTTACTTGGACTCAGCTGATGCACATCCAGTATCCTTTCACCTCATGGGGATGTTTCTCTTGTTAATTCAACTGCACTGAGAACTTTGTCTTTTAAACTGCCACCATTAGAACATCTTGCAATGGTTGTGGTTATAAAATGTAGAAACTTCAGTATCTATCAAAAACCATTCATTCTGAGACACAGTGTTCTGTCTGGATTAGGGATGTCATTTACAAATACCAGTTGTAAGGAAATGACAGCAGAAGAAAAATATGTCTCCTTTTTCTGTCTTTGAGCACCCAGAAGCATTTGGTTGGCCGCTGGGCCTTGGCTTGATCTAGCAGGGCAACTTTCTTAGACTCTAACTCCTGTCACCTGTTACTATAGCCAATAGGATTTAAAACTGGAAATGTTCAGTATTAACTTTTAGAGTTTGGCAATCAGCCATAGATCCAGGAGGGGGAAAGGAGAGTTAAGTAAGTAAGTAAGAAATTCAGGTCACATTCACATGAGTATCCATTTCTACAGCATTCATGTAAAAATAATTATATAACGAGATTCTACAGGTCCAATAAAATGTTTTTACATCATACCAATTCCTGGTTCAGAAAAGAAAACTCAGTCTTTATCATACTGAACTTTCTTAAATAGCTTTGATCCTAGTTCAGATAATAATTAAAAAGCAAGATGTGGATCCCCAAAATGACTGAATATTCTTTAGAAAAGTATTTGTCAAAAAAGGGGCAGGAGATAGCTGAATCATCAGGTTTCCAGTTCTGAAGCATACATCCTGGTTGTGCTCTTTGTATTACACCAGTTGGATGGTATAATTTAGGCACATCCTCAGAATGATACCTTTAATAAAAGAAATAGATCAAAGCAATAAAAATAGTCCTGAGCAAAAGTTGCATCTGAACAAGAAATATCAGCGTGTGTAGGCCTGTCCCTAATGTTCCCCTTCATTGCCCTCACATTCCTGACTTTTCTACAATATGCAAGGTATCAGAAAGGGGCTTGGCCATGTGAATGAGTTAATTTGTTATGGCCATTCTAACAAATGTTCTAGTGGAGGGGGATAGTGAAGCTGCACTGAACGGTGCAAATAATCAAACTTGGTGGCATTATGTCATACCTGTGTGCAGGGCAAAGATTTTCAGTTTTTCAGATTTTTGGTTAAGAGTTTTAAGTTTTATTTTTTTAAATGTAACAACCAATTTAGGGCTTCTACAATTCACAAATGTTTCTTGCCTCAAAATAGAGGGAAAATATCATTAATTTTCATCAATAATAATCAGAATGAGATACAGGGGCCACAAAAATGAGCCTAGGGGCCACATTTAGCCTGGAATTGTAGGTTGTTTTCCCATGCCAGAGAGTCAGAGTTGATTGAAAATGTGATCTTGAACATCCATATTTAAACTGTATTACTTCCAACATAATATGTAAGTTACCAGATACTCTTTGGTCATTACAAGCCTAGTTCACACTATCAACATCTGGTTTGCCCCATGCACTTTATGGATCCAACTGGTTTCCAGCAGGCATTGGGGAGTTTCCCAGAAATTGGGTGAGCAGTTCTGCTGGGCATCTAGTCAAACTCTGGAATCTGTAGACAACAAAAGTGTTTGATAGGATCATCCCTGAATAGCCTATCCCTGCATAATGAGCCTGGGGGGTTCCTTGGCTTACTGAGGAGCTCCAGGAGATGAAATATCAGAAGAGGCACCTGGAGCAATGCTGTCAAAAGACAAAGAATGAATATGATTCATTGCTTGTCAAAAGACAAAGAACAAATATGATTAAACACAGATGGAAGCCCAGTTTTTGGTCAACCCAGTGGTGATAATAGGGAAGTGTCAATACTTCTCCACCCTTACTGTACTCATAGATTGCCATTTGATAGCCTTGTTTCACAGTCACAACTCCCTTTTGGGGAATTGTGAGCGAGAACTTTCCGTGGGCCACTGCAACCTTTTTGTGCTGAACTGTGGCGGGGGGGGGGGGGGGGGGGGTTGTTTGTTCAAAGTTAGATGCCGGCTGGGCAGAATTATTGAGATGACAGAAGTGAGATCTTCCAGAGTCATGGGATTTATTGTGAAATTTGTTCCACAGCCATCTACTTGCTGACCAGTGGAACCTGGTACATCAGGATAACACCTATGTTGTATGAGGTGCACTAGCATTTTTAGGGTTTCAGTTCCAATTCAATTAGTTAGTTATCACCTATAAAGTCTTTTATGGCTTGGATCTCCTGCTTCATGTAGAATCTGCTGTCCCAATACCTGCAAGGTGAGAAAGGATATTCCAGATTTTGCCAATGTGGAATCTTAAAGAAGCAGGAGCCCAAAGCAGGGTTCCTTGGTTATAGCTCTGAGGTGAGAGTGGCACCATCTTCATCATCTTTTTGAAAAGCATTTAAAACCGAGCTTTTCAAGAGACCCCTCAGAGAAGACAGTGAAAGGACTAGTAGCAACTAGGAGATCTGTGGGGTAAATGATCAGTTATTTTATTTATTTGTATTCACAGTTATATTTTTATGTTTTATATATATTCTGTTATAAATTGCCCAGAGTTGTTTGGCATAAAATATATTTAAATTACTTACTTTTTTTTTTAAATCTGCACTCAATTGTGACCGATTCTGTGGTGACTGCCTGGACGAGTCCCTGCAGTTTTCAAGGCAAGGTGTTTCGGAAGTGGTTTGCCATTGCCTTACTTACTTATTGGCTCTTATATTAGAGCAATTCTCTCAAATACCTTGTTAATTTTTGTAGTAACATAGAATACCCATGTGTGCATTGCTTGTATAGTGAAGCTAAGCCCAGAATGTATATCACATCTAAATATGTTTTAAGGCTACAATCCAATACATATTTACATGAATTTGATAGGGCTAACCTCTGAATAGACATTGATAGCCTTGTACAATTGTTTCTAAAAATAGGACTTGATCATGAGATTGCGCAATTTGAAGAAGGGAGTTGAGTTTTTTTGCCTGACCGATTCTCTTTAAATAACTCAGCCATAAAAAGTCCCCCCCCTCCCCCGCCCATTCTGGATTTGCTTTTGAGACCACAGAATAGATGGCCTCTGTGTTTCTACAAACAGGTTTTGGCTATAATATTTTGCTGAAACAAAAGTACTTCCCTCCCCTCATCCTCCCATTTATGGTTGCTGGCTGGATTAATAATTAATATCATCCCTTCATCCCTGACAATGAACTAGAACTTGCCATTTCCTTTAAAGAGAGCAGACTATCTTATCAACTGCAGCACAAGCTTCCTAACACAATCTGACATTTCACTCAGGATTTGCTGCCTGAGGGGGCTTCCTCACTCTGCCCAAGAGTAGGACCAGTTCTGCTTCTAGCAGACCTTCGATCCAAACGTTGCCTTCTTTGCCAAATAATGCTTCATAAGGAGCTGTCTTTGTGTCCTTATCTTTCAGCAAATGGGAATGGGACAAATGTAGACCAGCTGATGATCCTGCACATAAACTTCACACATTGGGGTGGGGTGTGTGTGTGGACAGAAAACATGCATTATGGTCATATGGATTTCATGAATGGGATGCTTTCCTCCAGCCTCTTACAGTATACCTGTTATATTGCTGTTTAGGTAAGAGTGCAGATGAAAATAGAAAGTATGATAATTGCATGCACATTCACAGTATTTGGAAGTGTTTGTTTTCCCTCAAGGAACACACTCAAGCTTCTTTATTCCTGTATTCAGTGTAGATTTCTAGCTCTTCTGAGATCTTCAGGTATGCAGAAGAAGAGAAAGTTCACATAGAAAGGTCACATACCAATTAAAAACTCACATGGAGCCTGACACTCAGACACAATGTTGTGGAGATCGGCATCTTAGTATCTGCATCTTAAAAACATAAAACCTACCTTTGTCCCACCTGCTGTTGCTTTTACAAGATATTCTTCACTTACCTTTCAACATACAGAAACATACTCCTCTTAATGTCGAAGGGCCCCAGGCATCTCTACAAAGTACAGTCCTTGTGGCATTGCTGACTGCACCTACAGCCATTTACCTGTGGTTATTAATAAACTTGCAAGATAGTTAGTTAAAGTGTAAGATAACAAAATCACCTGTAATGCAACGGTGGTGTTCTTTGCAGGGTATTTTCCCACCAGTCCTTGTTCTTTCCGTTTCTTGAATTTCCTAAAGTAGTCCTGTATCAGAAAGGTGGCATAGAACTTCCCCACGGTTACCTCATCATCTAAATGAACAGACCAGAGAGATGTCTCCCAACTCAGCGCATTTCATTAAAAGCCAATATATACTCTTTATCCAAGTGAGAAAAAAATGTGATCGGTGCTTTGTACATTAAGGTTCTGGCTTATAACAAGGCAGCCTAAATCTAGCATAAAGCAATGTTTAACAGGCAAACTAGGCTAAGCAGTAGAAGCAGGTAGGTGAACGATGTCTTATGAAAGGAAAATAAATTATTTTATCAGAATTCAAAGAGGAAGCAGTTCTTTTAAGAGGCTGATATTTACATGGACCTGAAATACTTTCATCAGTCTGAACCAAAATATTACAATAACAGCAGCCTGGGAAAGTCCGAAGTTTATTTAGATTTGGTCTTTTTAAAGGAGGGGTATGCAACATTTTAGGGCATTATATAAAATAATGTGTAAGGGATCAGAAATCAGGCTTTGGGGCAAGTGCTACCATCTTAAATGGATCTCCTTACACTGGAAGCCTTGCTTGATGGGGTCTTTAGGAAGGTTTTACAATGGAATAGGAAAGAATTTATTCTTTTTGGCAGATGTTGGTTCCTAGTAACTAGATACGTTGAACAGCATTCTGGCTTTGACCATTAAATGCACAGGTATAACTCAGGAGTGATCATTTCAGGAGAAGGAGCTACACTTGACTCACAGTGAGAGATTCCCATTGCTCTACTCTTACTCCTCACTCACATGTTCCAGATCTCCTCTCAATGGCCTTCCACACTTTGGTGACAATTTGAAGGCACATGGGGGTAGTTTTTCTGAAAACTGTTAGGAGTTCCTTTTGATTACTAGTGTTATATAATCAAATACTGTTTCTCTACTAAATATTGTTCTGATTTGAGAAAGGAGAAAAAAAATAATATTTAATTTTTTTTTCATCCATATTACTTTTTACATTATGGGCAATTATGAAGAATTTCATTGTAAGGCTGCATTAAATGTCTTCCTGAAATAATTTTATTATTCTGATTAGATTAATAATACTACAGATAGAGCAAAACTATATTTGATAAAATATTTTATATTATGCTCTGTGAGAAGAGTTTTTAAACAAACAAACAAACTTTAAAATTTAAAATAGCTTGGTTGGGAGTCCAGTCTGTTCCATGCTGTCTCTTAAATAGCATTGTTGAGCCTGAGTTATGTTGTAACAAAATGCCTTTTTAAAAGGTCCTCAGCTTCATCAACCTCCATTTGTAACAATGCATGCTTAGAGGCCCTAGTATTTCAGAGTCAAGTTCAGAAAACAAAACTAATATTTTTCTTTAAATTTTCATAGTTATTTAACTATATTTGAGGATGAGAGCACTTAATGTATATTCTGTTTTGGAAATCATTTTCTTCAAGTGATTCTCACTGAGAATACACCTGAATTAACTTGTCTTTTGCACCACTAAATGCTCATACAACAGTTGTACTGAATGTTCCCTTGTACATATAAACAGAATCCTTCAGAATTCAGCATCAGTGGAAAATCATGCAATCAAGACAAGATGCATTTTGAGTCCACTGAGAAAGGAATTCATGAAATGGTAAGAATTGGATTCTTTGATTGGGCCTATATATTCTATCCTGATCAATGATTCCTGTATTCTACTGTGAGACACCAACTGACGGTACACACATTAAGGACTACCTTTGATTAAAAGTTGGTGCTAAAGCTTTGCTGTCATAAAAGTAATAAAAGAAAAATATATCTGTACACAGATCTGATATTGGTGAACCAGGAGGACTGAAAGAAAACAGAGAATAGGGGCCAAGATTTATTAAGGTAATTGTGGCAATAAGTTTATGACAAAGCTCCTTCTCAAAAAGTTCTCAAAAATATTATGAACTTTAAATAAAGGAATGATATTTAAAGTGGATTCTAGAGGGCAAAGAAATAAACACACAAAATGGGACAAAATACTTTGTACGTTATAATAGACAAACTGACAGCATGCCTTAAGCTGGCCTATCACAATATACAAATATTTTTCCTGATGTATAAGCAGGTTTGAAAGTGGGCATTCACAAATTCATATTTGCGAATCACCTGCCTTTGCTTACAACTTCTTGCTTGCAATAGAACAGCAGAATATGCAAAAGGGGACAGACTTAGAGCATATTTCACAGACCAAACATGGACTAGTTCTTAGTTTCTTAATTTGGGCACAGTACACATTGCTAGGTACGTGAAGGAGAGCAGCTAAGCAGAAGTGGCCATAGAAGAAACAGAGCTGATATTGACATGAAAAAAGATTAGAGGGAATGAATTTCAACAAAATGAAGTATGGAAGAAGACAGAGAGTATGAGATAGGTTTCAGTGTGCTCAGAAGAGTTAAGAATAGGGGCTTTAAAGGAAACCTTGGAGTAAAACAGGCAAATGGATTTTAGTGGTTATTTTTTCCCCCATCATCATTCACTCTGAACCACAGTTTTGCAGTGTAATTTGACATTTGACATTCAAATCAGTCTCTTTCCAGGTATTAGCAAATTGAGAAAATTAGTGGATTTAAAACACTTTCTTGGGTTAGTAGTTATTATTCTGTAGCTCTGTTTGTTATTGAGAAATGGTGAGATGACCATAAAATTTAGTTTGTTTAGGTCTTGTCTGAGAGAGGTAATGTATATTGAAATTAATGAAATAATGTGACCTAACTTAAGGTAGACAGAAACTTTGGTCTGTCTAATACATGGCTTACATACATGCATTTTCATTCTAAGCCATTGATCTGATCTGAAATATAAACCAGCCTAATTTATAGATTCTTCTTCAATTATGATGTTGGTTAAACTGAAGCTATATCATCTTGAATTTATAACAGTATATTTCAGGCTCATAAGAATCTGCAGGCATGCTTTTCTTTCATATTCCCAAATTATAACAACATCCTTTCCTTCTTCACAGTAGCTTAGGCTCTGTAAAGATTTCCCTGTGCTTGTGAATTTAGTGTTGCACTAAAATTTGGCAGTCTTCTGTTTCCTCCATTTTAATGGCAACTTCTTTGCTTTGGCTTTAGGCAGCTTCAGCCACTTAACTTGTCACGATATATTGATATCATTTTATACACAGTGATGCAATTGTGCTGAACTCTCAAACTCCACTTTACAGGACGCCTGTATTATACGTTAAGTCTAAATCATATACTCAGTAAAAGGCTCTTCGTGATCAGTTTAGACAGGCATGGCTCGCTATTCTGAAGCACGTCTCTGTATTTCAATAAAAAGAGGGGAATGAAGCTGGCCAGAGGCAACACTGATTCCATGCCACCACCCTAAAACAGAATTGCTTCAGAATATTCTGAAAAGACTGATAGTTGAAAGGAATAGAGGCTGCAGAAAAAGCTCAAGCACATAGTTACAACAGTAACAAAAGCAATTCATCTAGGCCATGCAAAAACTCAGCTGTGAGGCTAGGAAAAAGCAGAAGGGACACAGAAATGTCATTTTAAATGTGCAAAATCTGTTCTCTGGACAGTTGGCATTGCTTGGTATTGTCCCAGCCCAGCCCAAATCTGAGTTGTCAGTTGCCAGTGGCTTCTTCTGGGCTGGGCTGAAAAGTAGGGCAGCCAAACATGCTCTCTCTCTCTCTCTCTCTCCTGAAATACTAAGAAGGCCACCTTTGGAGAGAGAACAGGATTCAGTACCTTCAGGAATAAGTCATTTTTCCAAACCTAAACCAGAGTGATCCTGAATGCTGCAATAATGTTTAACGAGTACAGTAAAGTATAAAAATTCAGGAAAATTGACTCCAATAGTTGGTGTCTCTCAGATGTCTGAGAGCGGCCTGAGATGTTTTATAAGCATGTAATAGATCCTGCACTTTTAAAATGAAAAAAGCAAGTCAGAACATCACCTGCAATCAATACTTTATCACCATGTGTTTATCAACAAGCAATATAAATGTCCATATATGATTAATATGTACATCTGCATTTAACTTAGATACATAATTTTATATAAATCAACCATAACTTTCCTAGTTACATAGTTCTAGCTAATATACTGTCATTAGTGGATTCTTTATTCTGTGTTTCTTAATACAATTACTTACTCTTGATTAACTATTTTCTTAAATTTTGGAGGCAATTTAGCTTATGTAATCATTCCATGCTAAAAATGCTGAAGAAAAACAAATTATAAAGAATGGCTCCCAAATTGTAGATTAAATTCCAAATTCAAATTGCATTAGTGGAGATAAGAAGAAGAGCTTCTTATTAACAAATCATTATTCTGAAGCTTATAAACTGAAAGGTTTATGTATAAATGAGTAATTCACAACAGCAATGTTTAAATTCTTTATTTCAGAATGCTATGTTATGTTTAACATAGATGTGTTTTTCTGTAAATGAATATCTCAAATTTTACTATTTTGTCACTGAGTTAACATTAGCATTCTGAATGAACTGTTGTAGGATTTTTCTGTGTCTTGTACTTAAAATGTAGACGCTATAGGAAATCACATTACTGACCACCAGCAGGAGGAACAACTTGGTCCAGGAGCTTCATACTAGTTTTCTTCCAAATTTTCTTTATAACTGCCCTGAGTTCTTCATTTGCTTGCTCTAGATTTCCTGGGGAGAGGGTGAGGAAGATATTACATGTATCAACATGTAACTAAACAACAAAATAGCAATACCTTTTCACATGGTTTGGATCTCTACAGCTAAGCCAAAGTTAAAGGAAGTTTCCATAAAAAAGGCACTAGCTATGGCACTAGCTCACTCTGCTTTTGCTTTGGGATAACATCACGTAGACAAATCTGTTTGCCTCAGAGCTTCTTTACAGATTTAAGAGACGATCCAACTGCTTTGTGACATTGTCCCACACCAAATCTGGCAGGTTGTGATTAATTGATTTTGAAGTGGTTCCTGACAGGCTCGGACTGCTTCAGGAACACCTCCTCATTACTGCTGCTTTACTTTTTACATTACTGTTTTCATGGCAGGGGAAGGTATTGACCAGGGAAACAAACACAGCAGCCACCTGGATGCATTTGAGAAGCTCGCAAGCCTGAATTGGAGGGTGATAGTTGCAACATTCCACAGTCCCTTCAGCAACCAGTATAGAAGCAATGCTGACTAGGACTTGGAAGGCAGTTAACAGACATCAGCATTAGTACCACTGACAGCCATTTCAATGAACAAGTAGGATAAACAAGGATGACTTTACATGAAATGCCCTCCATCATAAAACAAATTTATATCTTAAAAATATAGAGTAGTTCAAAAAGCTGTCTGCTGTACTGGCCATATGCAAAACTTTATCTCATGACAATTAATTCTCTGGATGTCCTAAAGCACCTGTCAGAAGGAAAACAAAGGTAATGAACAATTGGTTCTCTAATCTGCAGATTCCAAACTGAAGCAGGGGTTCAAAATAAAGAAGCTACTGACACTGATGAATTACATTTTTGATGAAATATGTTATCTGATTGCATGTTACCTTACCAACAATAACACATTTCTTTCCACTATGTACACATTTTTTGTCTTGGTCCTGTTCTCAAAGGGGAAGGGAAGGAGTGATCTTGCATCCTTCACATGTAAAATTAAAATTGTGTGTGTGTGTGTTTGCACATACACACACACACACACACATATACCATACCACAAACAGCATGTCCAGATATGTAAATGCTGCATGATGGCTGAAGGGCCTCATTTTAAATAATAGACATATGCAACTATGAAGTAGCCTTCCCAAGTCTATGAAGGAATCCAATTGTTTACATTTCAATTCCCAGAATTATCATAAAGGGCAATTCTGCACGGTAGCATAAGCTGCATCTCTCCTATGCTGCTTCCTGTTGTTGCTGTAGCCAACTTAAACAATTCTAATCTGGATTGCAATGGTTTGCACTGTGGGCAGGCCAGTTTGGACACATGGATGCCTTTACATCCCCTTCTCTCATTGTGTCCTTTGACACCAATGCAGATCCTTTCCCCCACTCCTTATTGTACCATCATTGATTTGATGCCACAATGATCAAATCAAAGAAGACATGTTGTTCCTTTGTTCCACTGTGGATCCATAGAAACTCTGTAGCACAGAAGAAATGATAGCTCATTTTTATAGTAGCAAAGAAGTAATATTTGCTGAAACACTATAGCTTTGTTCCAATGTGCTATATTGCAACTGAAGCATTTAAAAAAAATGAAAAAGAACCATTGCAGTACATGGAGCATGGGGTGGGAGAAAAAAGAGAGTATGCTCTACCCAACCTGGGCAGAAACTGAAAGAGTGTCCACTGGGAGATGTATGACTGGAATGGAGGTGTTCTGGCTGGAGATGTGAAGAAAACATGGTTTTAATGAGCTATTGTTGGAAATTCAGCTAGAAGGAAACTGCTGACCAGCTGAGAAAATGGTAGCCTATCATGAAATGGCTGCACACAGCAGCAACCAGCTGCTGGAGGGAGTGGGGTGTCTGGCACTGTAGCCAATGAGAGCTGGGAAAGTCAGTAGAGTGTAATGAAATGTAGAAAACTAAGTGCTCAGAAAGGTTTAAGATGACTCAGGTTGGAAAGCAGCATTTTTGAAGCAGAGATTCAAAATGCAGGCAGGGGTATATTTGTGGTGGGCTGGCAGTGGGTGGAGGACAATGTCATCCACTCCTCCACTCAAAAAATGGTACGTGACCTATATTGGCAATAAGGCAGGCAAAAAGTGTGGATCTGGCCAAAATCATGAATCCTTGTATCTGGAAGAGTTTATATTTCCAAGAGGATCAGAGATAATAATTCTAATTTGATCACTTCCGAATGAAAGTCAATATGCATAAATAATTACAAGTAACAGCTTTATAATTATAAACAGCTCTACAATATAATAATAATCAAATTTATTTGAGGAGCTTAAGGAGGGAGCCCAGGTGAGGCATATTCACTCTATTTCCATGAACGCCCCAAAATATGGGATGTTCAGTAACATGAAGCCATCATGTTAATATTGCATTTACACCTGAAAAAGGTGACTTGGCTTTAGATACTGTTTTAGATGTAGCTTGCTTCTAAATTATCAAAAGTACACCACTTAAAATTTAAGAAAGGCAGATGGTGATTCTTGTAAAGAAAGTTTAAAGTTTCAAACTAGGACTCAGATATAATGGATAGTATGAAAATATACTCATCAGTAATAGATGGCTTGGGTTAGGCTCTCTCTTCTACATCTGAGAAGAGAAATCAAGACCAGTGTATATACCAAGTTCAGAGTGCAACTGATCCCTACCATCTATCCTTTTTGTCAGTAAAGGAAGCTACTGTTCCACAAAAAATGAGATTTGGGCTAAATAACATAGCTGGAATACTATGAGAACCATACATACAACCTTTTACATTTTAGAAAGCCTCCAGGGTGGCCACTACACACATCAAAGATCAGTACTAATTATTTGATAAGGAGAAACAAAGAATGATTAAAATATATATTGTAGGCTCCTACCTTCAGTTTTGATTTTCAAGGCTGTTCTTACTAAAGCAAATAGAGTAGCATTAAACATAACTGTTCCATCACTGTTTAGGGGCATGTTCATGGCTACCAACCTCTGCAGATATTTGAGAAATACACAGACACAAAAAAGGTTCAGTATATGTTTATCAGATATTTAAAAAGTGCATGCACAGGAAATTCATCTGAAAAAATGCATAGGAGGACATATCACAGTCAAATGGTTATTACTTCTCAAAGGTGTTATGAGCAGAGTACTACTACGAAATAGAGGAATTCTGCCTGACACAAGTAAGAGTACTTTCTAATTAACACAGAAAGTAACTCATACCAAACATAGCTTATACATTAATGGGAGAAGATAAATATTTGTCAGAAACATACTATAATTATTATAAAGTCTCATTCCTTTTTATCTGATAGCTTCATGTTTACGTTTAGTTCTCTCATAAAATCAATGGGAAATATTTACAGCTGCAGGAATAATAAAAAGTAAATTCCATGGATAATGACTCTAGATATCTTTGAAATCTCCATTGTTTTGAGATGAGACTTTTTTAAAAAAATAACTGTAACTGTTTTATTTATCAAAGAAAATGGGATGATTCTTCCATCATATTCTCCTCATGGGCAGTTTAGAGGCTAATCTCAGCTAATAGCAGAATGCTAGTTTCATGCTATGATTCAATTACTTATTTCTTATTTAGTGCAAATATAAAGCTGTGTCTAGGCATTACCACAATGCTGCTGATCTGCTGAAGGCAGGATGGCATTTGTACATACAGCTACAGTATATACTCAGAAACTTCCACATGACCCAGAACCCTTTTTTCCCCCCTGCTTATATTCTACATCAGTAGGCAACTGTTTTTGATCAAAGGGACTCAATTTGTCTTTTTGTTCTGCTTGGGAGTCACATGAGGTACAGCCAATACTGTTAAGAGCAAAATTCATGCCATGTACTTTTTTAAAACTGAGAACTATCAATCCTCTTGCTTTAATTATGGGAAGCTGTAGATGTATATGGGGCTTATTCACCTTCTTTCTAAACTGAATAGGGAATGAATAAAAATCCTGACTATTTCTGTATTCTCCAAAACATCCTTTTACTACCAGCCCAAATACTATTCTGTATCACTGAACCAGAATGAAAGAAAGAAGTAGCATTATTGTTGTAATAATATCCAAAACAGCCTAGAGAAAACACTCATAGTTAACACTGTAGAAGTGGGTGCAATGAATTTACAGGCATCTCTTCACTAGAAAAGTGCATTACATAGAGGTGTTCAAAGAATCAATGACCTAAGCCTACCTTGCAGGCAACTCTGTGAGGACATAATTTCCCAAAACCAAGGGGAGGCTGGATGCGTCGCAATAAAGTAACAACATCAAGGTGTTTTATTCTCCCCCTATAAAAGAGATTCAGGAAGAAAAAAAAACTCCAGCTGACTTACATTAGACATTGTTTTGTTTTGCTTTGTTTTACTCCTTTGATAGGAACATACTGTAGTCCAATTGTGAGTCTAACTTACTTTGCTTCAGGATCATATTCTGACCATATTCTTTTAAATTCATCTAGATGATGTGGACCAAGGATAGACCAATCACGTGTCAAGTAATCAAAGTTGTCCATGATGACAGCCACAAAAAGGTTGATAATCTTAAAAATAATTGAAGACAATATTAACATATAACTCAGGTAACAATAAAAAAAGAGTACTATAAAACTTTATTTATTAAATTAGACTTGGGCTCTGAGATGGATATATATTTTATATCTATCTATAAACCCATATGCCCCATTTATCTGGCTGTAAATGCCACTGCTTCTGAGTAGAACAAATACAGGATTACACTGCTAGTTCCTTTTGGAAGGATGTCCCATGGGAAGGCCATGTTCTTTATGTCCACCTTCCATTTTTTAGATGGCAAGCAGAAGGGTTATTAGAGAGGAGTTGGATAGATTCCTATGACTGGAAGCTAATCTTAAAATGGCTTTGGTCCCATACCATTTACTGCTTTAAAGATTAAAGTCAGTGTAAGATATTCATAAATATACTAGAATGTCAGCTTCCTGTGAAACTGGAAATGGTACACCAACTCTGGGGATTTAAAATGTTAACTGTGGCTGGACTGCAAACGTTTTATAATGGAAACTGCCACAGAAAAAAAGAAAGCAGACTATTAAGGAAATGGAAATCCTACGCTGAGCAAACATAATAGTACTGAACACATCCATTTCAAGGAAAGAAACCTGTTTCCATTGATCAGAATGCTATTAGAAGAAAATATTTGGAGGAAAACAATAGAACTATGGACATAACATAGACTGAACCTGATATTATCCCCTTAAGTTATGGCATATAATACTCATGTACAATACATGAATATTTACATGAGTACTTACTGACACCAGCATACTATTTGATTACACTTTGACAATAAAATATAGGATTAAATAACAAGTAATGCAACTTGTCATGGTTACTCTCTAGTTTCCATGAATTGGCACCACAGATTTCTGTGGGGAGGAAGAACCTATTTCATCAGCCCACTCCAGAAGCCTAACTGGATTCTGCTGGTTTCCAAAAGGCACTTGGGGAGTTTTTCAGAGGCACGGCAGGCAGTTCTGTTGAATGCCTGGCTAACCTCTAGAAAAGAGGGAGGCAGTGATACTTGACAGGATTGTTCCTGAGCAGGCTCCATCTAATCGCTAACCCATGGTAACTCCTTGGTTTACTGAGGAGTTCCAAGAGATGAAGCAACAGAAGAGATGCCAACAGCAATGTTGGCATAAGATGAAGAATGAATGTGACTGAACATGGGAAAGAGCTCAAGTTTGAACCTAACTGTGGCGATAACAATGGCAAAGCCATCTTACTTCTCTGTTTTTATTGGATCCATGGATAGCTGTCTAGCAGCATTACTTAACTGACTCAGTCACTCTGCCGGAAAACTTGGCTAGAAAATTGCTGAGCTGTTGCAGTAAATTTGCTAAGCATATGGAAGATAAAATCACTCACATTTGCCTGGTTGGACACCAGCTGGACAAATCCAGCTGAGATGGCAGAGGTATCATTTTATAATCTGAGATTCATTTGAGCCTGTGGATGAGGATGTAGACAAGCTCTTCTGTGCTATTAGCTCTACTATTTGTAGATTAAATCCTTACTCTACCTGGTTGGTAAAAGCTGCCAGGATGGAAGGCTGAGAGTGGATGGTGATAAATGTATCCATGAGTGAAGGGGTGGTAGTGTATCCTTTCCTCTAGAAACCACCTCGACATGGCAATTTTAGACAACTATTGACCAATCTCCAATCTTCTCTTTTTAGCAAAAGGTGGTTGAATTACAGTTACAGGGACTCCTGGATGAAATGGATTATCTAGATCCTTTCCAGTCAGGATTCAGGCCTGGGTGTAGGACTGAAACTGCATTAATAACTCACGTTGATGACTTCTGACAGGAGAGAGACTATCCTAGTTCTGCTGGAACTCTCAGTGGCTTTTGATACCATGGACCATGGTATCCTGGACTGACTATAAGGAGGGGGGAGAAAGGCACTGTTCTTCAGTGGTTCTCCCCATTTCTGAGTAACCAGTGGGGAGAGGTCAAATGCTCCATTATGGAATGCTACAAGACTTGATCATCTCCCCACTACCACTCACCATCTACATAAAGCCACTGAGAGAGATCATCTGCTGGCATGAGGTGAGGTATTAATATGCTGATGATATCCAATCATATATCTCCACCATGGGCCAGGTAAGTGATGTGGTGGAAGTCCTACTCAGTGCCTGGAAGCCGTTTGGGTCTGGATGGAGAGAAACAGGATTTCACTGAAACCTATCAAGACAAAATCTGACTGAATGCAGAGATAGTTCATATTTGATTCTGGATAAGATACTGCTTCTTCAAATGGAGCTGGCCCATAACTTGGGAGTCCTCCTGAACTCATGGTTTTTGACTGAATAGCAGGTAGAGGCTGTAGGCACAAATAGTTGTGGTTCTTTCTGGATCCAGAGGCTTTCCTCTCAGTCACTCACATCCTTAGCACCTTGCAGCTGGATTATTGCAATGTGTTCTGTATGGGGCTGCCCCTGAAGACTATCCAGACATTTAAACTGGTGTAACATGCAGCAGCCTATTTATGGGAGCACTGAGCTTTGCTCATGTAACACCAATACTATAGGAACTTCACTGACTACCAGTTAGCTTCCAGGTACAATTCAAAGTGTTGGTTGTTATCCTTAACCTTTATATACCTCAAGGCCTGGATATACCCATGACTGCCTTCTTCTTGAATCTGCCAGTCCAGTAAGATCTGGGACAGAGGGCCTGCTGAGAGTCCCACCAATGAGGGAATGTCCTCTTCAGGGATCCTGACTTGAGCCTTCTCATTGATGGCCCCCTCCTTTGGAACAAACAGTTTACCCCCAGATATTCATATCACCTTCTCCTTACTATATTTTTGGAGAGCCATAAAAACATTGCCTTTCAGAAAGCCTTTTGGGGAAAAATAAGAGCATGTTATCTTGAATGGTGATACATTGGACTGATGGATAATAATTGTATTAATTGAATTTTGTTTTTCATCTGATATTAATACTGCAAGCATTCAAAGTCTCTGAAAATGGAGCACCATATAAGTAATAGCAGAAAGGAAAGGAAAGGAAAGGAAAGGAAAGGAAAGGAAAGGAAAGGAAAGGAAAGGAAAGGAAAGGAAAGGAAAGGAAAGGAAAGGAAAGGAAAGGAAAGGAA